CTGGGCTGGGCTCTTACAGTGTTCTGTTTCCCTTTCAACTAGGTCCCACTGTTCTCACAAGGTTTACGCAGATAGCTGTAATGAAACTGCACAACATCCTTTGGAAGCGAAATGGGCTGAAGACAACGCACAGCACCAAGAGATTGCTGAGGCCTGCCACCCAGAAGTCAACGTAACTGGCCGGCGAGTCGTCCTAACTCAAACTCAAGAAGCAGTCGGACATCCACGTGGTGGTGAGTAGTTCCTCCTTGGAGGCCAGGAAGGTGGCCTTATACAGGTACTTACTCTACCATAGTAGCCATGGGCGTATGGGAATGTAAATACGAAAACTCTACCGATCAGATCTTCAGACTTGAAACACCTAAATTCAGCTGGACGTTTCAACTGCTTTTGAGACGGTCTTCTGAGATGTTTGAATCGTACATGAATTACAGTTGGCTCCGTAAAGTATACTCCCGGGTTCCTTTTTACATATATTTATTTTTTTAAATGGCGAGTTTGTTCATCGACCTCCTTACGAAACACACTCCTCCTGTTGTGTCTTTAGATCCAGTCTAGAGTCCTACCAGCAGCCACACGGTGGAAAGTAATAATGGCAGAATAGCATTACCAACAAAGAAAAGGGAGACTAGAATGCCTAGTTCTGGCTTATTAGTGGTCGTAAACCAACCAACATATAGCGGGTTCGAGTCTCAGGGATTGCATAAGCTGGGGTTGCAGATGACTGGCTGAGGGCGAATACCAAGAAATCAGAAAGGGTACCTCCAGTCTCTACCTTTATCAGTTATGTCATCCGTTAATTATTTATAGACTGAAAACCTCCAAATAAAAGGGAAATCCTGATGATAATTCACGTTTTATTAGTCTGCACAGTCGTCCAGCCATGACAAATCTAAATACCTGAGTGCCTGGTGTTTGACTTAAAAAAAACGGTAATTCAGTGCTAAGTCTAAAGCCCTACCAGTGAGTCAAAGGACCGTTATCCTGTCCCGTTGTTGAGGTTTGTTCAGCGATTATACTCGTCCAGCACAAGGTACTCGTTGGCAGTCGTAGGCTAGGAATAGCCATCTCAGTTACTCTTGTACGTTTCGGTATGTATGCCGCTAAATGCAATCACAAAATGCAACGAGATAAACGTGTCTTGTAACCCAACCTATGGACGCCTTTCCAACGACAGTTAACATTACATGCAGGACGCTGATCAGAGGATCCATAGTCGCCTTTCAGGTTATCCAATAGAAGGGTTCGCTCTACCCATCTGACGAGAGCTACTACACCGGAAATGGGCAGTCCTGCTGTTATTCTCTGTGCCAGTCCTCCTACCTGCGTTCACTGATATACTTTCAGGACAGGCTTGTTCTGTTGTGCTTTGAGCTCGAGCTACAGTCGTACAGAAACAGCATCTTAGTCTGACCGAGTTCGGCCTGGCGGGTGGCCGCCTGTTAGTGACCTCCGGAGCTTGTTTGATTTGGGAAGTCAGCGGTTCTGTGTGCGTCCACTTCTGATTGAATACAAATTTAGCAAGTGCGTTCACCGATCGGGTACGAGGTAGGTGCGTTCCCTCGTGCCTTGGGGTTCGATCTGGAGATACGCAGACAGTCGCATATTGACGAGTATTATATACGAACGGAGACTTGGACGACCTCGCCTGACTTATTGCCTGTCGTCAACCCCAGGTGCCGGAGCACTCGAGCTTTGAATCCGCAACCTGGTGGTCGCAAGTCATCATCACCCTAACCACAAACCCATTGTCCTGTCGATTGCAACTGGGCATATTAACAGTGACAGTGTTAGTGAAATTGCAGACTGGTGGCAGTCAGCCCCTTTCAATCCCTGACCGTTACTGCTCAAGATGGGCCATGATAAAGGAGCCGTATTTGAGATCGCCAGTAAGGGGAAGCACAGTATCCTGATCTGAAAGCCTTGGTCTCTGAAATGGTGACTACTACTCAGGCCCAGTGAGTCAACTCTTATTTAACAAGATCTCGAGGCCAATTTACCTGCCTGTCTGTCAAGTAGAGAAGACATTTGACCAAATTTCATTTGGAATTTGACCCCCCCTCCAATCGATCTTCGGCTACCTTTGAGGACAGTTTACATGCCATATCTATGGTCATCTTAGTACAAATGGACGAGAACAGTATGCAAGTGTGCCTCTGCCAAAGTGTGCGCATGTGCAAAATAGTGTACATTCTGGTTGACCTCCAAATGATGTTGTGAATTTATGCATTGAATTGCCATCAGTTTCTGAAGACTAAAGTTACTTTTGCTGGTGGTAAAAATGAATAATTAAACCAAAAGATCAGAGAGAGCGAGAATGAGAGTCCCCACATACGTGGAGTAAAAAGGGCAGGATCAGGACATCAGCTGTTGGATGCAGAAAATAATTATGACAATTTAGACACCAGATACTATTCGGGTTATGCTCAATAAAACCACCGGGTGTTGCCTACCATTTCTTGAAGCCTCTATATCTACTCAATACACAATTGTAGCCTAGGCCTCCATGTAAACATCACTTTAAAATGGCCTCTCGAATGTAGGAACCGCTACGGATTATGACTTTGTCCATTCAACAAGTGATAAACACAACTGTGAAGGTGATTAGTTCACGGCCAGAGAGGGGCATGCACAAGGAAGTTCGAGCTCAGTCATGCAATTTTGTCTGAAGTATTTCGGTCTAGACGCCAGTACAAAGTTTTCTTTTAGATCAATGTGCCGTTGATAACTTCATGGCAATGCAAAACCAATGGCTTCTAAGAGCCGGACGTGTAATATGACCGGCCGAGCGACAGCGCTTTTAACGACCATGGGTGTGGACAGGACATGGTCCTGTCATATTCGATATGCAGGATGTATCGCAGAATAATGCGGTCGCTGCCGCTGTCGAGGTCGTCTACAGTCCGCAACTTCCGCAACTGCTTAACACGAATGGACTGCGCTGCTGAACCGACTGCTTTTGGGACATCTCCACCAGGACATCGATAGGTTCCAGGGTGGAGATCTGCAAGCCATTGGAAGTTTAAAGTAAAGCAAGCTCCTACGTACCGCCGGAAGCGTTCAGAGCAATACACCAAACCCAAATTGGCCCATCTCCGAGACTGAATACGATTCTTGCAGAGCTCTATAAGAGTGATGGCTTTCAAACACTGGAGGCGCAACTGATCTATTTCAAGAGGTGTGAATTTGAGAAAACCTCCAGGAACACGATAACTGATCAATTCTGCGGAAGAAACATATCTCCTAAAAGTATGACCAGTCTTCGTGGGCATCCTCATTAAATGTCTGACCTAGCATAGGAAATGAATATTTTTGTCGAGGACGCAACGCATTTCTCGTAAGTACGTGAGATCCTCGCCAAGAAACTTACAAGGGGATGCCAAGAAATACACAGGTGGAACGAAGCAAGCCTATTTACTTGTACTCTACCCTCGGGATATTCCAACTTTCACGAGCGCAAGGCTATCGAAAAGTTTTCAACAGTACAATAAACACTCGCCATTCTCCAAGAAGCTGACGCTCAACGCCACGAGAAAATATAATGTTCGGTGCCACTTGGACATCCTTGTGGTAAGTATTCCTTATATGTTTCCTAAACAAGATATGTATGAACGACCCAGTCAAGCAATAACGGTGGCCCTGCGCATAACTCTACGAAGGGTACATATTCCCGTATCATAACCCTAAAACTGGTCCTAACATAAACATAAACGATAGCCACAATCATAACCCTAATGACATCCCTAACTTAAACCGAATCCTAAACTTAATCCTAACCCTAAGTTCACCGGATTTTGGTGGAGAGCCGCCTGCATTGTAAATGGTTCCTATTCCCGCGTCCTGTTTAGGGAGCCATATAAGTAATCCTTACTGGCCCTGCTTCTGGACATGTGAAGTTTGCACGACGTTTTTCATCATGCATCAATCAACACCAACTACGTCGTAAGTCACATCCCTATGCCGGCGAAGAAAAATCTCAATAATTATGGCAATAATCGGCGAAGCTATACCGACCATTTCCGGCTTAGTAGGCATCGTCAGCCGGCACGTCCCACCCCCAGGGTTCAGATAAATTCAGTTTATTTGAAAGCAGTGCAGGCGTGTACCGTTAGACTCCCTGTTTGTTTACATGCACGTCCTAATTTCAAAGCATTTAAAACTGTAAAAATAACTATGAGGGAATGGCACAAATCTGTCCAGCTAAACGACACACACTAGTCACACCCGAGGCACCTGATTTTTAGCCCCGCGTTAGTAAATCAATGCTCTACTAACTGAGCCATCCAATACCCCGTGTCCTGAGCGGTAACCTCCTTCTATCTGGATCACTAATCACTGTGCAACCTTCTCTGGGTCTGTGCATCCAACGAGTAAAAGGAGATGAGCAGGTCTCGTACACTGCTGGGTGAACGTTCTTCCGGAATTGGAGCTCTAATAATCAGGACAGCACTGCTGCGGAATCCTCAGCGTAAGTCAGCAGCATAACAAGCCTCAGACCTCCCCAAAGTTCTGTATGGCGCAGGAAATTGAACTGTCTCTTACGATTAGGGAAGAATTCCAAGCACAACCACCTGAACCGGTAGTAGGAGTGGAATCGTACCGAGATGGCCTAGTTGATTAAATATCAACCGAAATTCGGAATGAGTTCTCAATTCGAAAACAATTATTAAGGTAGTAATACGTATTAGTCTGCATTAGCCTATTTCATTCACGCCAGGAAGCTGGCTTTTGGACGACCCCCTTTCCAGTTGTCTGCCAAAAAAATCTACTCAAGAAGTGTATAGTTTATTACTAATTTTCACAGTCCTTGTAAATTTAAATAGATTTCAGGAAAAAAGCAAATGAGAAAATAGCCCTCTTTTGCTTTTCTTTGTAGCCAATTACCTCTCGTTCGAATTTTATACTCCAAAAAAACGGTATCTGCCGGCTTTTAAAACTGTAACAATTCCTAAATAATTTTTAAGCGTTTCAAAATTACAGGCTGCATACAATCCCTCTGGGGGAAAATATCAGTTTCTTTATGTTATGAGGAAGACAGTAGTGCACAGTGCTCATAAAGGTGTGCTTTGGATGTGGACATTGTTCCATACTATATAAACAGCACTGATAAATGGAGAGATACGATGCTTTATGAATGGACATTTCACGGTATTAAAAAATCGAATCGGTAAAAAAATTTTTAAAACCGCATGATACAGTTCCTCCAAATATAAACGTTGAAGCAGATGTAATCTTCTACCAAAGAGTACGATAAAGTCTATTTTTTGTGGATGTTTTATAAGGGCAGCAAAAATAAATGAAAACGGTGCCCACTACTTAATTAGTCCGTTTTGCAGACGACCGGAATGAAGCTTATTCAGAAGTCCTATCCCGATGGGACTGAAATAACCGGGGCCTATGCTGCAAGACAATGAAGATTACAGCCCTACTCACGTCATCGTTTACAATCAACAACAAATTTCAGAATCATAGGTAAACGTCTGATGAGATTTTACATCCCCTGGAAATTATGAAAAAGGACATTCCCATGTCTTCTGGCTCTAAAATGACCGAGTTAAAGTCGAGGCTAGGGAGCTGGTCAGGAAGTCCAACATGGAACATACACCAAGGCAACCCCTCATCTGGATTTCAGTAGGTGTGACACCAAGCACCGTGCATTTGCTGGGTCATCAGTGGTTAGCAGACGCGCTTAGACGAAGGAGCAGTTACTAAATGTGGGATACAAGAGGCCAGAGGTATATGAGGCCGAGCCACCGTTGAGATGTCGTCCGCTGCCGTTTCGAAAACGAACTGCGAAGGAAGGAGAGTGCGGGTTGGCTGCTAATACTTTCCCCTGAAAACGGTCAGCACACATGTCTTCCATAGTAGGGGGTTTGAAGGGCCCCGCTACGGGCCCTTACAGGAAGAACGAATGTAAAACAAAAGCAATCGACGTCGGTAAGATGACAGTGATAATACTGCTGATGTAGAGGGTGAAAAAAGGGTAGGCGAGAGAGAGAGATAGATAGACAACAGCAATGCACTGTTTTTATCCCTTTCTTATCGGCGTCCTCCTCGTCGTCCTCCTCCTCCTCTTACTTCTCGGCAGACAACTGCGGCGCCTGACAGGACCGGGCTGTAATAACCACGCCTCCCAGACGCAACACATTCACCCGGCCAGAGTTTGCTATTGAAAGCCAACAAAAAGCCACACACATACACACACACGCATAAACTGGCGCACTCAGATGTATTTTGGTGTGAAAACGAGGTGCGAGCAGTCTTTACTACAAAACGAACTTTTGAGACGAATTTTTTGCCCTTCGCCTGGCAGGAGTGTGGATAACAAGCCCTGTTGCCTTCTGACATGTCACTTGCCATCTCTTATTATTTTTCCTCCTGCTCCTTCCGCGTCTTTTTAGTATTCCGACGTGGACGATAGAGGAGGCACAGACAGGCCGTAGACGAGGGGAGGTATGCGAAGACATATCGGCTTGCGGTCG